TCTCGGTCTTCTTCTTCGTCATGTCTTCTTGCAGGTGCGCGGCGGCTTCTTCAACCTCAGGTCCGCTATGGCGGACTATCTCCCTCGGCTGCCACCTCGGCTATGGCGCATCAGGCCCTGCTTACGACGGCGCGCATGGAATAGCGGGTACCAGCTCCGATACCAATGCAATCAGACTCGTTCTCAAACACACTTTTCATGCATGTAAACAGCAACGCAGCATCCTGGCGAAATGTGCCCACTCAAAACTCAGATGTATGGCTTTCAGATACAGTTCACTCTCAATTGGCTATGGCAACTTCAGCGCCTAAACATCTCACTGTTCACATACACTGGATCACCCTGGATATCCCACACGCATCACTCTAACACTCGAACACACACACACACTCACTATTAACTACAGCTATGGCAGCTGTCACTGCATCTACCCTATCGCTATGCTAACTCCCTCTCTCTCTAGCCCACTGCGTCCTCCGGGCTCATCTGCAGACCTCCTTGCACAAGTCGCTGTGGCAGCGCTTCCGCATGGCTCACGCAGGAATGAATGAATGGCTGGGCGCTGCCTCTTGATTTATACTTCAGAAATTCGTTGGTCTGCCCTTTGCCATCGGCCCTTCGTGCTCACAGTCCCCCTGTGGTACTTGCTGGACTGGTCTGGGACTCTCTAGACCCTTYTGCTGACTGTAGGCAGTCGTACCGTCGACTCAGTGCAGTTGCACTGAGGTCCTACCTGTTGACCTTGCCACTTGTCTTCGTCTGAAAACGTGGGCCTACCTAAGACTCACCACTTGACCACTTGCCGACCTTCTAGAAGGACTACGGCTAGGCCTCTGGACTCTACTTGGACTCCTACCTTACAGGTCTACAGTTCGAATCTCCCAACAGCCTACAACCTACAGCGACCTACTTACCACTGGCTATCGTGCAGGGCACGGGTTCAACTCCAGGGAACTGTGCAGGTAAGCTGAGGTCAAGGGATCGACCCCTGGGATCTGCATCGGCTACTGCCAAAGGTGAAAACTGTTTCAGGGCTGACGCATGGTAATTATTACAGACAATGCCTGAACACCACCCAAGGGATTTGGTCCATGGTTGCAGTATGCTGGTAGCAGGGCCTTGGGGGAGGGCGGTTTGTGTGGTTGGCCTTCGGGTGGTCTGACGAATGTGTGTGTGTGTGGGTGTGGGTGTGGGTGTGTGGGTGTGGGTGCGGGTGCGGGTGCGGGTGTGGGTGTGGGTGTGGGTTGTGTGTAATGTGTGGTCCAATGATCTCTGGGTCATGTCTCCTGTACACACCATGGGCAGGATAGAGGAGGTAGGTTGGGAAGAGGTCTTAGGTCATAGATTAGGTTAGGTAGGAATTTTTGTGCGGGGATTGTGGGCCTGTCTGTGCGTCGCCTCGTTCGTATGCACGGCTCGGTGGGTGTGTAATGGGTGTGTCTGGGTACCATAGTAGTTTCCCGGCGTCATGGTACACCTGCGAGAGTCCATACTTGCATTGTACGATCCTGATTCTGGTCTGGCTCCGCTCTCTACACCCCCCTTGAGTAGTAGCAAGGGTTGGGCATTAGACATATACGATTCCCAAGGGTGGCGCCTCATGTCTATATTACGATGCTTGTGGGATGGGCGTCATCCGGGTGGGTAACCGTCTGCGTTCCCATTGAGGGGGTCGATTGGGGCCTGAATCTGGGGAAGGGTTTTTGGATAGGGGTCTCATCTTAGGCAGCGGAGGGTGGGTCGTCGCATTGATAATAGGAGGGTGGTAGACACCCATAGAGTCTGCTAGATGTTAGAGACACCCATAGAGTCTGCTAGATGTGATCGCCCAACGGAAACACTCATCTGAGACCCTCGGAATGTGCGGGTTGGTGTAGGTCTAGGTCTAGATATAGAGGTCTGGGTCGCACCGCTGTAGGGCTCGACTTGCGACCTGATTAGGATAACCAAAAAAGAGTTCACGAATGATGGATGCCCCCTGGAGGAGACTGTCCTTGGGGCTGTCACAAGCCATCTGATCTCCCCACTGGTCGAGTACAACGACAGGCGCCTCCCGAGGCCTGGCATCCACCCTCTACTATGATCTGGACTTTCTTAAAA